CTCTAGAATATTCTGTATATCTTTCAGTTCAAATAGTAGAGAAGAGTATTATTTACATTAATTAAAGAAGATATTTATTTCAGAAGATTTTTATTAATTATATAGTATCTATTATTCTATAACTTCTGTTTTTATTATATAACTCTGATAATAATTACTCTCTTTTTTATTCTTCTAAGTAAAGAGAGAACTTCTTTGAATTAGATTTACTACTTCTATTCTCTTTCTTTTATCTTTTTATATTTATATATATAATATTTGTCTGAGTGTGAAGTTTTTCTTTAATAAGTAGAGCAGTATTAATCAGATACTCTTTTACTTACTATTTCTTTATACACTCTTCTTCTGAGATGTTTTTAGAATCACTCTGATATGATAACTATGAATTACTTTATAGATAGAATTATCACACTCTGAAAAAGCCTGCACTTCTCATTAATTTTTAGACATACTATCAGATATAATTCAAAGATTGCTTGAGTTAGTGTAAGATTACAGATGTACACTGACTTCTTATATATAAATTAATTAACAGCTGCTAGAGCCTCTTTACATTTGTCAGCTTATTTAGAAGTAGCTACATTATTATTCAGTGACTGTATATTCTTCTGAATCACAATAGTTTACTTATTTACAAATTTAAAAGAGATTTTAGTTTTTCTCTTTATAGAAATATTCTTTCATGTTTAATTTTCTCAATATTCAAAGAAGAAAATTAATTCTTAATTATTGAACATAACTTGTATAATTGTGAGAGTATTTTCTTTGAAGAATTGTTTTTATTTACTCTGTTCAGTTTTAACTTACTTAGTAGTAAATAGACTTTCTGAAATCTCACTATATTAATACAATACTATATGTTTTTCTTCTGAGTAATCATTTCTGCTGCTTTAAATCACTTTGTTAAATTATTAAAATCTCTTTTAACATTACTATTAATTGTTGAAAGTTTGAATTTGTATCTATTGATTCTGTATCATCTTTATTTAAGATCATTATGATGTAAAATAAGAGTGAGAAGTTCTCAAAATGATACTGTTCAATCACAATAACTTATTAATATATGTCTAAAGATGCTAAGCTGTGACAGAGATAGATGAGTTTGCGCCGACTAGAAAAAGAAAAAAAATTGAGAGAAAAATTATGCATGAATGAGCTTAGTTCATTATGTAGTTACGCCTTGTGACCATTACTAAGTGGTTCACAATGTCAAGTTGTAAATCCGTCCACAACAATTGCAAGTTCGGCATGACCAGACTCTGGTACAAGGCTGGAACAAATCCTTAGAAATAGATGTCGTTTCCTGCGGCTGCCTAATATATTTATGGCCTAACAGGAGAAACAGTGATGGGGCAATTTTCTCTATAAATGCCTTACCGTGCTCCCCACTACGAGTGGTTGTTTCCACCTCGCGCACCCAACTGTTATCAAACACGGACAATTGTTCATCCTCATTGTACGATGATCTTTCATTCATGGTTTAAAGAAGCATTGTTACTGACATTAAAAGTATGGGCAGCTTAGGTGGAAATGACTGATAAATCTGAACCGGACCAGGCGAAGAAGGGCAAGGAGGCAATGGTTGGTATGAAGGCGGATGTGAAGACTCTCCAATTGCTCAGCTCTTCAGCCAAGGCTGCAATAGATAAGCGAGAAAAGATTAAGAATGAAAAAGCAAAGCTCGCTCTTGAGGAAGCTATTCATATAGCACTCAGAGAGCAGAATCAGACGGGTTCAAGCAAGGAAACCGGGCAGTGACAAATTAGGAGTTGCCGAAATTCTGACTTGTGTGAGTGTCTTCCTCAAATGCTTGCTGAAGTCGGGCATCATAATCCTTTCTGTCCGCTAGCTTGCGTGTTGCAATGCTCACTATATCCTGTGTCCAGTACCATGGCATAATTTGGTGAAACGCACCATGATCGGGACATTTCTCAATTAGTTTTGGTTGGAGTTTTTTGCCAAAAAGTGCGAAAAGCCCAGTTGGGCTGGATAGGGCGAGGATATACCAGAACGTCCCCATCTCCCAAGCCTGGTTCATGATGACTGATAGTTTAATCGTGTTGCTAGCACTGTCACCTCGCTCTTCTTCATCTGTCAAGATGGTCATAAATTCCACTCGAGCTTTCTCATACTCCTCAGTCACTATCTGATCCACACCCTTGTTTGTAAGCCAGTGAGGAGGTTGAACCATCTCAACAGGTAAAGAGCATCCCCATTCCATATCAACAAGTGAGGTAATATGCCAGGCTTCATCAACAAAAATATTGCTTTGATGAAGATCAGTCAACATAAAAATGAATGGTCCGCGGCGGAGATCTCGGCGAAAGAATAATGGAAAAATTGCTCGCATTGCTGTGAGGGCTGATGTTTGGTAGATATAGTCCGCCAGGTCGTTTATTGCATTTGGTTGATGTTGAAGCCGGTTATCATGAAGTGAAAGAGTGTCCACAACATAAGAATCAACAGTAGAATAGGTGTAATCTCGCGGCATACCGGTTGGAATTTCCTCATTCTCTAATTCTTGAATGCCGAGAGAAAGAGGTCGGTTTGTCAGGCGTAGGAATCCATTATTATCTATAACAAAAGATCCAATTTTTGGGAGAGGAGTGTTTGCAAGTCTCAGGAATATCCGGCTAAGGTCATGATAGAGATTGCTTCGTAACTTCATATCATCTTGCTTCTCAATCCATGTGTGTGATAGCATTTTCCCTTTTGCTTCTTCAACATACTCAATCAGCAAATAGCCAATGTCTAATTCCTGACCAGCAAATGTCCTCCTCTGGTTACGGACATACTGCGAAGGAACTGCGTGACCAAGCATGGAAAGTAGACGGCGACGTAGAAAGTGTATACAGCGGGTGAAAGGAGGTAAGTTTTCGGTATGAGTAAACTGGATACCCAGGTTAGTCACTCATGAAAAAGAGTTAGGCTGCACACATACAGTTTCACTTGTGGACATTGCAAAGCCATACAGTCGCGGAATTGGTATATCTGGACAATTGTCTTCCAGCCAGGCATAAGTACCTGCCTCACATCGAACTTTTTCGTCTGCATTTCCTGGCCGAAAAGTCTCGCCAACACGATATGGCAGAGGAAGTCGAAGTAGGACACGTTCTCCAGGCTGCAGCTTTCCTTTCCAGTTAACAATAGTGACTGGAATACACACATTAAAGCTTCCATGGAGCCAGTTGTCTACATCGGCAACATGGCATGCATCAGATGATAGGTTCAAGTGATGGGCAACAATTTCTCTAATCCAGCTGCGCCCGTTATTGAGAAGGGTGAAGAATTGAGTTTCCTGGCTGGGATAGCTTAAGCGGTGAAGAATATTGACTTCTCTATCTTTAGCAGATGAGTAAGTAATTTCCTCGCGAAGTAGACGCCGCGTCCCTGGCATGGTGGTCCGTTTGAATGCACTTTGAAGAACAGGAAGAACAGCAGACTGACTTTCATTCTAAAAAATTGTATCTATAGCAATACGCACAGGCGCTAAATCAGAGGGTTAGGTAATACCAGTTACCCCTGAGTCACATGCGTCGCTAGGTGTATACAGAAAACTTGACCTCGCTAAGTGCGCCACTTGACCTCATTATGTAAGCTGACCTTGCAAATGTGGCCCGTGCCACTACCTGATCTCACTCAATACATCTTTTCTTATAATTTGAAACCACTCAATTATTTATCATCAATTCTACAATCAATTCAAAATCAATTTAAAATCAATTTAAAATCAATTTAATACTGAAATTATTCTTGAATTTAATAATAAAGTAAGTATTTATATAATTTACACTGAATTGATTATTAATTGATTTTCAATCAATTGTTAATTACTTAAATATATATATTAAATTTATTTTTATTACTATAATTAATTTAAAATTAATTTAAAATCAATTTAAAATTAATTTAATACTGAAATTATTCTTGAATTTAATAATAAAGTAAGTATTTATACAATTTACACTGAATTGATTATTAATTGATTTTCAATCAATTATTAATTACTTAAATATATAGATTGAATTTATTTTTATTACTATAATTAATTAATAATTAATTTAAAATCAATTCAAAATCAATTTAAAATCAATTTAAAATCAATTATTAAATATTTTTATTTTAATATATTTTAAAATTCTGTAAAATATCTCTTTATATTCTATATGAATTTATCTATTTATTTAATTGATTATGAATCAGTTATACATGCTTTTTAATTAATTGATGAGCTGAATGAATGAATAAATGAGTGAATTGAAAGATTGAAAGTCAATTATCAACTGATTATTACTGTATTGTGTGAGGTCAGGGTCATGATTATGTAATGAGGTCAAGTGGCGCACTTAGCGAGGTTAAGTTTTCTGCTTCCTGCGTCGGTAGAAATTTCTGTCGCAGCGCACGCCCCAGTGGCGTTGCCGTAGCAATCGCTCCGCCTACACGTGATCTCATATGTAATAACGTGATCAACCACCCAACGCCCGCTTACACTCAACGCCCGCCATTTCGCCATTATGATGATGGAATATTTTCAATGATATCTTAACAATGCAATTAGATTTTAAGATGATATATTATATGATGAAAATTATATAGAAAATTATACACAAAAATATACAGCTAATTCTGTAGATATTTATTAAGCTTAATAACTCACTCAGAATATGAAATTTTAAATAAAGACAGATTTAGTGAGTAAGTAGTTATTAAATCAGTAGAGATTATAATATTATCAGATTTCTCTGACAGTGAATTTATAAGCACTCTGACAAAGCTCTGAAAACATAATTTAATTACTTTTTATAAAATCAAGAATCTACTTTTCTGATTAAATATCATACTTTCAGTTATATCAAGACCTCACTGCAGTTTCACATAACTTATTACTTTTATATGAATGATTTCATTCTGTCTGAACTAGTTTTCAATTACTCTATAACATTATTCAGATATATCATAGAAAGATCTGATTAATAAATATAAAAACCTCACTTTTATATAAGATTAGCAGATTACTTTTTCTTAACAGTGAAATATTACTGAGATATTACTTCAGCTATTCTCATTCATGAAATAAGAGAAGAGTATTCACTTATTATCTATATAGAATAGCTAGATACTGACTTCTTATTAAAAAAGTCAGTGATTCATTTTTCTTCTATTAAAATATATATAAGAGTTACTGTATTTCTTATACAATTTTCTTAGTATACTAAGTATTATATCTGTGATATTCTCACAATAACTCTGTAGTTTATAAGCTTACTATTTAAGTAAGATAGTCAAGCTTACTTATACAGCTTTTTTAACAACTATCTCTATATAACATTGCTGACTAGTCACTGCTTCAGTTCTATTATATTACAATTCAAATCACTTAATCTGATTATAAGTTTGAATCAGTCAAGCTTTAACAGACTGATATAATCTTATATATCTGTACTGAGACTGACTTAATCTCACTCTCTGAGAGAAACTCTACACTATTTTCTAGAGTGTGTACATTTTTATCTCAGTAGAAATCTGAGATTTCTGAACTCACTGTATACTTTAATATAAGTTCTTCAACTGCTCTGCTACTGCTGTGATCTCTATACATCTATATCTATTATAAAGATAGAGAGATTAAGATTAGAGATTCTCTGAAATATAAGAGAAATATATTATCTGAATTTCTGTAAGAAATCCCGCTTCTTGCGGATTCTTTATCTCTATTTCTATCTCTCGCGTAATCAATAGAGCTAGCGGCCCTTGGCTACACACAACTATATAGACTGGAGTTTGTGAATACTATTCATAACTCAGCTTGAATACTATTATATATTTAATCTCTACATTTTATCTTTCTACTGTGAATACTTCTAGTAGTAAACAGTACATATCACATCAAGCTGCAAACACCTGAATAATCACCTGTGAGCACTTATTCTTATATTTCAAGCTCAGTCAGTCAGCAACTGTCTGTTATGACTGAAAGAACTAGAAACTTATATACTCTAATCTCTGTGAACTCTACTGCAGATACTCAGAAGCAGTCATCTGAACTATGAATAACTCTTATGAAAGAAGTCTCAGAGAACTTATCAATTACTCACAGAACATTATTCTCTGCATCTGTAACAGAGAAACTCTCAGAACTTATAAATAAATCAATCTCAGTGAAGAACATTCTTGAGCATCTCTCATAAGATCAAGCTATTTTTCTATAAGAAATACTTACTGTCTGTAAACACTCTCAAACTGAGTCTCTAGACATGATCTTCAGAGACACCTGCAAATTAAAAAGAAACTTTCTTAAGTTATAATTACTTAAGATCATCTATCAAATCACAATCTATAAAAGCTTTTACAAGTTTGTATTTGAAATTGACTTATAAGCTCAGCTGTGTGATATAAAAGATGAAGAAGCTGTTATCTATACAATGACAGATCTCTATTACACTAAAGTTAAGAACTGACTGAATCATCTAAAGAAGAATTATGAGAGATCTCAATAATCTATTCTTAAGATCTATCTAGAGAATAAGTTGAGAAACTCTGTGAGTTGAACAGAGAACACCTGAACTGCAATCATTAATATTAGAAAAAGAGGTAAGAAATCTGATGAAGACTACTCACAGTGCTTCATGAAATTATGATATAAATTAAAATCTGTGAAAACAGGGCTCTGAAACAAGATCTGAATAATGATGTTTATAAAGAGACTGAATAAAGATATATAGAACAAGCTCATTGAGCAAGACTCTAAGTTCTTAACTCTGAAGAAACTGATGACTCTTATTCACTGCTTATGAATCACTGTGAGAGTCACAGACTTATGAAGAGCAGATTATCAATCAGCTCTGCAAGAGTCAGAACAACAGAGAACAGATTTGTCAGAAAAAGATGATAAGATATAGAGAGATTTATATCTGACTACTGAGAAGAGAGAGAGAGCTTCACAAGCTTCTGTGAATAGAGTATATAACAGAGAGATTAAGAAAAAGAAACTCTGCTTTATCTATTCTAAATCAGAATATCTTCACACAAACTGTCTAAACAAATCAAAATAGAAATTTGAGAAGTCATGAACAGAGTCAGTAACAGTCTTCTTAAGAGTCTTGAAGCTAATACCTGAATCTGTTACTCTCTCAATGAAAATACTTACTTATGAGAAGAGATCATGCTGCAGTACTACTATCTCACAAGTATGAAAAGTATTAATAAACTCAGGATCTCAGATCACTGTGATGTTTCTAAAGCTCACAGAGTGAATGAGCTGAAAGATGAAAACTGAGAATCTGCTCTTATAATAAGCAGAGTGTGAGAACTCAGATCTGAGAGCTGAGAGACTTATAAGAGTCATCTTTGAATTGTAAGATCTCTCTGAAATCTGAAGAAGATTTGCAGAAACTGTGATTATTATAAACATTACAGATGACATATACTTAGAACTTGTATAACTTCAAAGACATAATCTGTATATAGCTGTCTATGAGTCAGGTTTATACTTCTGATCAGTGTTGACAGACTCACTCACAGAGATAGAATCAGTTAATGCTGCAGAGTTGATTAGAGAAGATAAGCTCATCTATATAATAACTTTATAAGTGTCTGAGAATCTTATGATTATGAAAACTGAGCTTCAGATATCAGAGAAATACTGAGATCTTACAGAGATATTCAGCTCAGTAAAGACAGCTGAGCTTTCTTCTCATTATAAGAAGAATCTGATAATAGATTTGATAGAAGAGTAGAAACTCTTCTGAGAATCAATCTATAAGCTCTCTCATTATAAAACAGAGATCTTGCAAATCTATATGAAAAAGAATCTGAAGAATAACTTCATCTAATCTTCACAGATCTCTGCAGAAGCTTCTGTGATATTCATAAAGAAGAAAAATGAAGATTTCAGATTGTGTGTAGACTACTGCAATCTGAACTTCAAGATAATAAAGAGCTGCTACTCTCTATCTCTGATTGAGAATGTCATCAATCATCTCATAAGAGCTGTCATATTCACACAACTGAATGTAATTAATATATATACACAGCTGTGAATATAATCTGAGAATGAATGAAAGACTGTCTTTAGAACTGCACTGAGATTGTTTGAATATCTAGTAATGTCTTTTGATCTGACTAATATCTCTGTGATATTTCAGTCTTTCATTAATAAAACACTTCATGTATATCTGAATATCTTTGTAATAATATATCTGAATAATGTGATAATGTACTTTATAAAGAAGAAAGAACACACTGAGCATGTACAAAGTGTGTTGAAGGCCTTAGATAAGACAGAACTGTATATTAAGCTTATAAAGTATAACTTCAGTGCTCACTGAATTAATTTCCTAGAATATGTAATCACTGTGAATAATATTCAGATGAAATCTTCATGAGTTGAGACTATTC